CTGACTGCCCAGCTGTTTTCTGCCATGAGTAGAAGCAGCCTGAGGCCCTCACCAGATGCAGCTGTCCCAGAATTGTGGGCCAAATAAACCTCTGTTCTTTATAAATTACCCAGTTTCAGGTATTCTGTTATAGCAATACAAAAAACAGACTAATGTAGCTTTCTTGTATATTTTTAAATTAAGTAATGTAGATAACTTATCTTTCTCTGGCTTTTAAAAATTTTCTAAAGATTACAAAAACAGTTGTTATACTTTGGGGGACTTAGCATTTCTCGCAATATTAAGGAGATTTGGAAAGCTTTCATATTCATATAGGAAACTGAGAAAAAAAGAGCAGCTATCTTGTAATTCTTATCTATAGAGATATTGAGTTTAACTCTTTGCTCTGATGCATCTTGTTTCTGAGGGGCCACCATCAGTAATTTCTGTTCCCTGAAGCTTATTTTTTCTTCTCTCAATAAGTTTCTGCAAACAGATTGGTCCAACTTTTCCATTTCTTTTTACCCTAGATTATTTGCCTCTATTTCCAAGTTTTCTGTGAGAATTGCAAACATGACCAGCTTTCACGCAGCCCAGATGAAGAAGAGACACGAAGGAGCTGAGGTGGTGGTAAGGAGAGATGCAGGGTCTGTGGCACCTGAAAGCCACACACAGTCAGTTCATCAGAACCTCAGACTTGTCTTGGGCCACTCACATGGAGGTCTTCCCAGCTCTAAAGATACAGAAATTTCTTCTGCAATATCAAATTCTTGGTTTTCTAATCTTGTCATATGTAGCAGTTTTGATAACATAAAATGTTTCTTGGACCCAGCAAAGTAAATCACCAGCAAATAATTTTGTTCTCTTTATTATTCTAGTTCTTTGCCTTCTCTGTAAATATAAATGAAGCTATATGGGTCTCTGTAGGTAGAAATGCATCTCTCACCACAGTGCTCGAGAACTGCAGTGAGTGGACACTGAGAAACTATAGATACTTTATAATAAAAAGAATTTCTGGTTACGGAGACTTCTAGGAAAGGTTTTTAAAACCCTCTGTTCTTGACTGAAATGACCAAAGGAATGTGAAAATAGAGAGCAACGTACAGCAGCCTCAAACTTGGAGAAATTTCTGCCAGACTCAGTAAAGATGGGACAAGAAGGGAAGACAAAGACAAAGAAGGCCAACTCACAATTCCATTCCCAGGAAACACATGGGGTATTCACAGGAAATAGATGTAAAGGATCCTGGCAAACCTCTCCATCTGGGGGGAGGTGGTGGTCCCTGAGCCCCGGCTGGCCCCCGTCTTGTTTCTGTGGGTCTACAGCATCTAAAACTTGGTTGTACCTGGAGGCACAAGGATAAGTTCCGCTAGACCCAATAAGCACATTAAAAATAATATAGGAATGGGCCGGCCCGGTGGCGCACTGGATAGTGCGCCGCTTGGGAAGCGCGGCGGCGCTCCCGCCCGAGGGTTCGGATCCCGCGTACAGACCGGTTCCCGCTCACTGGCTGAGCGAGGCGCGGGAGCAACACCGAGGGTTGCAATCCCGTTGCCGGTCCCCGGTCCGGTGCGGGGGCGACACTGAGGGTTGCGATCCGTTGCCCGGACACGGAAAAAAGACAAAAGACAAAAAAAAAAAAATAATAATAATAATAATAATATAGGAAGAAAAGTAGGATAATTCAGTGGGAGAAATTCTATTGAGTGACCAATAGGTAAAAGTTACTTTGAGTTCTTTGGATGCTTCCCAAATTCTCCTCATTCTAGACACTGGTATGTTCCTGAAACACTCACAGGCCCTCGTCCCCTCCCTTCCTTCCACGGGCCAATAAGTTTCCATCTTATAGTTGTCAGCTTCAACACCCCTTCCCCCAAGCCCCTAGACTCCTGCCTGACCAGGCTACATGTTCCCGCTCTGCACTCTTCTGGCACCCGCTCTTTTGGGTTATGTGGATGATTTTATTGTCTGTCCTGCATGAGGGGAGCTATGTCCTAGATCTGGCAGAGCGCACTTGGCATACCAGCATATAACAGGCCACCAATAAGCATTTATTTTAATGAATAAATGGGTTAAAGGAAATGTAAAATTTCTCTACCAGTTTCCCCTTCCTCTAGTTTTTTTCTGGGGAAAAATATTGGCTACTTCTGCCTTCCCTGCATACCCTTTTCATTCCTTCCTACTTTCATGTTCTTTTACTTACACTGCTTGTTTGAAATGACCTCTTTCTCTTGTCTCTCTCAGTTCCATTTCTCTGATCTTCTGTTAAATGGCATTATGCTTATGGAGCTTTTTTTTTTTTTTTTTTTGAAATAATTAGGGTTGAGTGCATTTAGACTATATAGAAATTTCAGAAATAAAGATAAACCCCCTCATGGAGCATTTTGTGAACTGCCCATTATATTCTTTGCTTCCACTAGATCCCCTTGGACAGCCCCTGGTTCTGAGAATTTGTATTATGAGAGGTAAATGAGACATTTTGAAACAGAAGAGAAATACTGAAAAGGAAATTCTAAGTGATTTCAGCCAAACCTAGAATCTAGGGGGGTGTTTGAGTAGGGGGAGGATTTAAAAGCTTTCAAAAATTCATAAAAAGACACAAAAAGAAGGAGAGAAGGTAGGAGGTTAGGAGAAATTACAGTGTCATTGTTGGAGTAATACTACATTTTAATAAGGGAAATGGTAGATATCTTGCTTATAAATAACACTAGCATTATATGTATATGATTAAAAGAGCAGAGAAAGAGACAGTTACTAATAATCTCCAAACCATCAAGATAAAAAAATGGTAACTTCATCAAACTGGTAAAAAAGAACAGAAAAAAGTGAAACAGCAATTTAAAATAATTAATAAATATAGAGTAAAACATTTATTATATACACATATATAACATATAATTAAATAAGATGCATTATTCATCACATTAAATGTAATAATTTGAAATTACCTATTAAAATATATTATTTGTCATATTAGGTTAAAAGTAAAAACTCAAGTATATGCTATTCAGAGGAAACACAATTAAAAGATAGCAACAGGGATAATAAAAGGAATGAACAAATGCAAACCAAAAAAATACAGCAGGAGCAATATTAATATCAAATAAAGTGGAATTTAGGATTAAAACAGAATAAGTAGAATAAAGGGAGGCACTCTATAATGATAAAATACATAACTGATGAAAAAAGACAGTCATAAACTTACGTACACCAAAGTGTATGACATCTATTATAATAAATTCAAAGCAAAATAAAAGAACTTAAAAAAATAACATTTTGGAGGGAGATTTAAGTACCCCTTTTTAGCTTTGAGTCATGTAAAGGCCATAAGCATGCATCACTCTGAGTGCCATGTGCTGCAGATAGGCATATGGTTTATTGGGGGTAAACTCACAAGCAGAAAAGCAGCACAGTGGTGGCTGCCCAGAGACTTGTCATTCCAAAGCACAGGCTGGGTCCAAATGTTGTGGATGCATCACGGCAGAGGGCTGGATGTGCTACCTAGAGCACTGCAGGAGAGAACAAGCCCCGCCCACCCCACCCCCAACCCCCATATCATATCACATACCGAAGTGCTTCAAAAGGTCATGGAAAAATTTTTTTAAAAAAGATAATGCAAATCTTTCCATGAACTGTTTGAAGTACCCTGGTATTTATGGGTTAGCCTAAGAGAGTCAAGGAAAACTGGTTTCTCCAAGTAACTAGAAATGTTTCTCAGGATCTTCTGGATCCAGGATCAGTTCTAGTGGCCTGCGGCCTGTGTAGGGAAGGCCCTAGGAAGAGCCTTCCATGCCAGGAATGATGACAGCAGCCTGTCTCAGCAGGTCGGCTCAGTCCAGTTAAGTCAAATGTCTGCTGAGCTTCTAAAAGGGTGTTCAGTTTTGTCTCTCATCAATTGAATCTATGTGGTACATTTTCAAAGTTAGAACATAGAGGAACAGAATAACAATAAGAAACTTGATAAAACAGAGAACCTTTAAATAGAGAACAAACATTATTATATGTTTACAACAACTTTATAAAAAAACTGACCAAAATAAAAACAATAGAGCTTTTCTAGGCATATTCTGTAGCCAAGAGCCAATACCATTAGAAATAAATGATAAAATGATACTAACAAATCTTAACCCTTTGTAAACAAGAAACAAAGTCCTAGATAGGATCAGTTAGGAAATTTTAGAAAAAGTTACTACCTAGAAACAAAGGAAAGGAGAATCACTGAAATAGAAAACCAGTAAAAAAAAAAAAAAAAAAAAGACAGAAAATAAACCCACCAATAAATTAAAAGAGAAAAAACTAAATAATCAAAAGAGTAAGCATTGGATTAAATGATTAAATTTGTCAGCCATTTTTAATAAGAATAGGGATAGAAAGAAGTAACTCTTGAATATGAAGACTATCAAAAGCCAACAGTAAATATTATCCTAAAGACACGAAGACAATTTCAGTTAAAAAAAAAGACTAGACAAAGGGTTGTCTACCATCACCATTATCATTTAACATTATCTTGGAGGTTTCAGCAAGTGTAATAAAGCAAGAAAATCAAATAATTGGCATAAGCATGGAAAAGAACAGATAAAACCATCTATTTTTGCTACTAATAAGATTGTATACTAAGAAAATTCAAAGAATCTTAAAAAAAAAAACCTTACTGGATTCAATAAATGAATTTAGATGCAAGATAATTTTATAAAAATCAGTATTTTTTACTACTCTAGCAATAAGCTCCTAGTAATGAAAATGGAAAAAATATATCATTTAATATAGTTTACCCAATAATTTAACAGTGAAGACTCAGAATCTATATAAAAAGACGTAAGGTATCTTACTAAAATACATAAGGTAAGATTTGAATAGAGAGGCATATTATATTCCTAGATGGGAGGATAATGTAACGAGAATGACAATCTTCCCAAACTGATATGTAACTTTTTGCAATCTTAATTTAAAAAAAAATTTTTTTTTTTTAAAGATGGCCAGTAAGGGGATCTTAACCCTTGACTTGGTGTTGTCAGCACCACGCTCAGCCAGTGAGCGAACCGGCCATCTGTATATGGGATCCGAACCCATGGCCTTAGTGTTATCAGCACCACACTCTCCCGAGTGAGCCACGGGCCGGCCCTTAATTTTAAATTTTGATATGGTTTTTCTTAGAATGGGATGAAAAGATCTTAATTTCATGTGGTACAATGTTCAAGAATAAATAATAAAATTACGGGAAAGGAGAGCAATGAGGCACCGAGGGTTGCGATCCCGTTACCGGTCAGTAAAAAAGACAAAAGGAAAAAAAAAAAAGATCTAGAGTCACACCAGATTGCTGGGAGCAGTGTTCCTGAGGAAATGTTTGAGTGACTAACATAAAATGCGGACAAACATGTATAAAACAAATGATACCAGAAAAAATTCCTGTGTGTACGTGTGTGCTTGTGAGTACGCCCTGTGCGTGTGTGTGTGTGTGTGTGCGTGTGTGTATAAGATTATCTGATTATGGAGAAAAGTGTGAAAGAACACCCATGAGTTTTAAAATCTGTCTTATCTGGGAAATGGGGAATCGGGCATAAAATGCTAAGAAGGTAGGGTCAGGGGCAGGGCAAATTGGCATGTAGATTTTTTTCCTATTTATGTATATTGTATACAGGCAGTCCTGGTTCCATGTGACAGATCAAAGTGAGAGCATGGTTCTGATATGCATGAGTTTCATATATGTATGAAAAAAAGGAAATGCTCCCCCAAGAAAGAAAATGCAATGAATAGCCAATAAATTTATGAAGAAATGCTAAAACTGTAAATAAGTAAATAAATGGCCCCTATGGTCCATAAAGAGAGGTACCATGTTGGTTATTGGTCATTTTATC